AGAGGCGGCGGAGCGATTCCCGGTGCAGTTTCACCAGGCGAGAGCTGCTGTAGGTCACCTAAACACCAACCGCACGGGAAATGTGCTCTCTAGCCTGAAATCATAAAGTTCTCTCCCTGCTTAAAATGCCCAGCCACCGTAAGAGGCAAAATACAAGAAATTACCCTACAGAACTGATAAAAATCACACCTATTTTAACTGTTCTGTTAAATCCCTACCAAGCATTCCCATGGTCTTCATCAGGCTTGGGAAAACAGCAAGGCGAGCGTGAGCACCCGAAGGGGTCACGATGAATTTGAGATGGGAGACCTGCATAAATTCATCGCATCTGAAGCTGCTTGACAGAGAGCGTAAATTAAACTTTTGGATACCGACGCACACACGCAAGTGTTTGTGGGGCTTTCACAAATGCCTGGAAGATGGAAGTGAGGAGCAGATTTGGGATGTCTCCATCAGCCGAGGGAAAGGCTATCGCAAAGAAAGCAACATACGAAACACTCACATTAAATCAATGCTCGGTGGAGAAATGTCTTACGTTAAGCTAAGCTTTATCTTAAATCATATTTAAAAGCTCGCACTGTATACGAATCAATATTGATGCCATCTAAAATACACCACTATCATCTGCACTGATAAATGCCAGTTTCCATCCAGGACAAAGTGACTTCTTGGAAGAATTTCAAGGACTTCCAATCTCTTCTGGCATCTCAGCAACTGAAGCCAAAGCTGTACTCCTCTGCCAACTTCAGGCTCTGCTCCAGCGCATTAAAACTGGTTTTAGATGCCATCGTGTTCGTCATACAAGAAGCAGAAGTAAGGTCACGAGAATAATTTTTTCATTTGATTCCCAGGCTTTTAAGTTAAGCAGATTTATGCGTTTTCAGAGGATCATAGCTTACGCACAGCACGCATGGGAAAAAGTTGCCAACTTGGATGAGAAAGGGACTAAACAGTAGTGTCTTTGGTGTTCCAGCTACCGCGATCACCACTCTAACGTTAATGTCGTCATCATCCCTCCTGGACCTGTTCTCCTTCATGGTGTCCAGTACGCTGCAAGCCTTCCACAAGGAAAAATGATGGTATATTGAGGAAATGTAGTTCATCCAGGAAACACAGCCTACCATAGAATCATAAAGGTTGGAAAAGACCTCTAAGATCATCAAGTCCGACTGTCAACCCATCACCACCATGCCTGCTAAACCATGTCCTGAAGTGCCATGTCTACACGTTTTTTGAACACCATACCATACGGAAGACAAAAATAACCGCAGCATCTCATGAAACCCTGCAAAAGCCTATCAAAATTGAGGCATTTTGGATTTTCACTCAGAATTCAATCTTCAGGGGGAAAAACAAAAACCCTTCCTGCCCAGCCTTGTTTCCACACCCCAAAAGAGGCCCGGTGCAGACTGTAAAGCATCTGCCCTGGAGTTTACTAGAAAGCACAAGCCTACAACCACCTCCTCCTTCCAACAGTTAACTTCTGTTCCGATATGCATTAAATACACGTTCATGTCACTCACTTGGTTTCTTTGTCTGAAAACTGAATGAAAATCAGCGCTAGTAAATGGGGAATAAAAAGGTAGGTGTCCTTAACTCTCCAGACAAGCTCAAGCTTTATGGTGACATCTCCCATCACTCTCCTAGCGAAAATACTTTGGAAATAAATTGACACTTCCCTGCAGGCTGGTGCAATTGTGAATCTATGGCTCATACTCTTTTTTTTTTTTCCTTCCCTGCTTTGAGTCATTCATTTGGCACAGGAGACTGAGATATTAAATTATTGTATTTTTTTTTCTTCTATAAAGGCACCCTGAGATGTCTTGATATGATAATGCTTCCTGAAACTGATGCTAATTGATAACTGTTCCTTGGTTTCATCAGAAGTCTTAGGTCATCCTCGTTTAGGTCATCCTCGTTCAGCATCAGGGCAAGACACTTGAGGGCTGTTCCACCTTTCCATGTTTTCCAAACATTCATGCACGAACACCGAAATATCTTCATAGACTAAACTCCTCCTAGAACATTGTGTTTGGAACCCAATTCTTGATCAGTTCAGAATTTAAATGCTTTTTTCCCCATGCTATGAGGTTGATTGTTGCAGAGTCTCAGAGTCTGAAGTGCTACTGTTGATCGCATTAGGAAAAAATGATTTATAAAATGATAAAAATTGCCTGTTAACACCTAATGCCACTTTGTGATCAA